ATATATATATATATATGTGGAAAAGTCTTCTTAACGCCTATAGGCGAAAATGAATAGTGATTTTGCCTACTTTTATCATCGTCTAAATTTCATCCTGTGGTCTCGATTGTCCGGTAGTGTTTTATATTTACTTTTTTTTTCATAACTTGAAATGATCTGAAACTTGGAGGGTATGTACATCTTACTGAGGTGTATCTAATAAAAATATATAAAAAATTATCTTTCTGGAGTATTTTGGTCAATTTTTTTCATGTAAAATATTTTTTTTTTTTTTTGAAGATTCCTCTATTTTTGATGAATACATGTTCTAAATTTCAAGTGATTCCGATTTTTAGAAAAAAAATGAAAAATAAAATACTACCAGACAATCGTGACCATGCGATGAACTTTGGACGGTGATGGAGGTAGGAGAAATCACTGTTCATTTTCGCCTATAGGCGTCGCGTAGTGCTTTTTCTATATACATATTCTATTTTACATTACTCTTAAAAATATTCCACATTATAGAAAGAGAAAGTATGGAATGAGACTATTCACCTTTGATACAAGGTGGTTACATTAATCTTGACCATTGGATGTGACATTGGATGGCTGCAATTATTCCATTGACCAAGCTCAAACTTCAAAAAATTTTTTTACGAACTTTGTGACACATCCAAACTATCAAATTTTACATCAAATGGTTGCAAGAAATTGTGACCACCTTGTATCAAAGCCAAATAGTCTCATTGTATACAAGCCCTTATAGAAATTAGCAGAAGAAAATCTATTCCATAGATAATGATATAGTATGCTAATGCACATATGGGCATTCATGATAGTGGATAGGGATGCCCCCATGTATCCCATGCATTGCTATGCTATATGTACATGGTGTTAAGCATAGGGACCATAAATGTGGTGTTTAACTGAATCGATCTTTTAATTATATCATCATTGTCAAAGCTTTTTTCCAACTAATTGGAGTTGGTTACACGAATCTTGGTCTGCCATTCTGCTCTATTAATGACCATATTCTCTGTGAGGCTGTAAGTCCTCATATCTTTTTTCACTACTTCCAACCATATTCTTTTGGGCCTACCCCCTGTCATTTTTTAGCCTTTTACTTGAACTAATTTGCATCTTGTAACATGTGTTATATTAATGTCTGCGCCATACATGGTCAGCACTCGTAAGTGTACTCTCTCTCATCCTATCGCCTATCAGTGCCACACCTAAATTTTTCGAAATTTTACCGAATTGATCTTTTTTAAGTACATATTGTGAATATTTGGACTCTTTCCAATGTTTAATATTGTACATCATGGTGCAAAATTATTATTCATTATAATGGAAATGAGAAGTGTATATGACAAAATGTACTGAGATAGGTAATGTACTAACTATGAACAAACCTACTTAATATTCAAGAGCTTGAACTCGGCACTTGACCTGATTGCTGCGAAAACCAAGTTGCTCACCTGGTTAAATATTCATCTTGGAAGAACTCTAGTGACTTTTTTTTCAAATTTATGTGAGTTAAGTGAAAAAGAAAAGTGTCTACTGGTGTTCAGATTGGGAGCTTGTCACTGATCATATGCCATTCCAACAACATTAACATTAGATATCCCATTTATATGTTACAGCAACATGTAAAATTATTTATATTAAAAATGTAGAGCACCTCCTGAGTTTTCTATTTATAGATCTCGCCCACTGGATGATTTGTGATGACAAGTTTTTCCAACTCAGAAGCAAGTTTTTATACACTGCATAATACATTTTTATTGTAGAAATATATCACAGACCTTATCAGAAAAGAAAAAAAAGAAAAAAAAGAAAAGTAAAAAGGAATATATCAAGGTATTTTGGAGATTAAATATAATTCATAATTTCCAAAATGCACTACTTGCTATGCTCTCTTAGCTCAACTGCCAAACATTTGCTGAGACGTATAAAGTCATCCATATACATGAGTCCAGCAAGAGGCAAAAGCAAGCCTTTTCACAGCTAAATACTTTAGAACAATGGCGGGGAGACGTCCTTGAAGGGAAATGAAGTCCACACTTCATGAAAATTCTACATCTTCCTCGAAAATCAGCTATCAAAACATTTAGCTTCTTGGCTTGGTGGTTAGGGTACAAAGACTACAACACTCATATTGAAGGTTCCATTTAAGAAAAAGGAAATAACTAGCAACTCAGCAGCTCCTGCCTCAACAATGTAAAACTACACCATGGAATGGTTCCCTCAAACTGTAGGTCAAGCATCTAACTTGAAACAGGCTATCATAGATCCTACATTTTACAGTTTTTTGTTGTCTCCCCAAAATTATACCCTCAGCAACCCCTGTATACAGTCAAAATTCCTTTATGACCATCAACATGATTAGGACAATTCTAAATGCCCTAAATTCAAATAGGTATATTTAGGCTTGTCCTGTAAGATTCCTACTGAGATTCCTCAACCACTTTCTTTTCTAGCTGAACTAGAATTTCTACCTAGTGTTTTCGTTCACCTAGTCCAGATGAGTACAAAGCTAACCACTAGTAGGGTTCCATGTGAAGTGGTTGAATGTCATTAGGTGCTTCCTACAATGACAAATGACTTGCTTTCTGGAACTGTAGAGCTACTCAAATAAGGTTAGTGGTGTTTCCTAGTAGAAGTCTTGGGAAATATTTTAGTGGGGAATGATGTTATTGCAATTTGTAAATCATCACGGCTGCTAGTTCGAAAATTATTAAATATAGAGTGGTTTGAGAATTACCCAAGTAACCATTGTTGATAAAATACAGACAGATGGGTTGACAAGCTACCAAAAACATTATATACCAAAATATGTATTTTTATCAACATATCATAATAATAGTGAGTTAGACTTTTGATTGCCCCTACGCGTTAGAACTATTATCTTGTCTGTGTTGATTTGAAATATTGAAAGGAATATGGTATTATACTATTATGCTAGCGATTGGGTTTCACACAGTATAATGGCAACTCCTCAACCATCTGATGTCGACAATCAAATGTCAATAATAGATGGCCGAGGAGAGACGTTTCTCTATATAAAGTGGGTTGTCAATGAGTTGGGTTCGGTTCAGGACCGACCCAATTCTAGAGAGGTCTGGATTTCCTTGGCCTGGGCATGAACCGCTTGGTCCACTCGGTGGATCTAGAACTGGTCCCCATTAGGTTATCAGGTTGAACAGATCCGGTTGACACCCATTACTCGAAGTCCTTTGAAGGAAAGGATGTGCCCAAATCCTTTCGTTATTGCGTAGTCATTTGCATTTGTAAATGTAAATCACCTTTCAATCACTGGTCTTGCTGTGTCGCCCACTAATCTAGACTTTAAGAGGAACAAAAAGAGCGTAAAGCCTTTATTGATATCGACTGTGCGACAATGTCTACTTCAAATTCTAGTACACGAAAGTCTCGAATGTATTGTTGGTTATGTATTTCAGCAAAAATCAAAATAGTGATAAGTCTGTTGAAGTAGGATGTGCACTGGAGTGTTATGGACCATGTGTGGGCCTTTCTTGTTTGAGTCTTCGATGGGAGAGGGAGACAGAGCATCATCTGCAATTCCAGTTTTGTCTTTTTTTCGTCCTGAATGTTGACTATTTCATTACTTATGGGACATTTGAAATAGTGCCAAAAAAAGAAAATGCAGACCCACATTTGCTTGTGCAGCAAAGAACCAACCGCATGAGAGATTGTTATTCTGAATTTCTATCAACGTTTTAATGAATTAAAAGTATATATTAATACTTCTTGAATGTCGCAACCTAACTCTTGATAGAGCAGAATGGAGGACCAAGATTTGTACTGCCGACCCTAAATAGTTGGGAAAAACCTCTGATGATGATGGCGAACATCACAACCCAGCTCTTGGATATGATTAAACAAAAAAAAAAACCTCTTGGATGCGAAATCGGATGGTAAGAGGTGTGCTAGTCTTAAAGTTCAGAAAGGCTGGCTCTTTGGAGTCATCCTTTTTTTATATCAATACCAATAGGTGATAAAATACGAGAGAGTAGATTTAGATAGGTTGGCCATGTATAGTGCGGATCTAGTATAACACAAAGGTGCGAGTTAGTTCCAATGAAATGCTAAAAAAAGACAAGAGATACATCCAAAAAGATATGGTTGATTTATGACAATAATATGACGAACATAATGACAAAACAAGATTCGTGCAAAATGACGGATCAAGATTCATATAGCCGATCTTAATTAATTTAAAAAAAAACCTATGACGATGATGATGAAGTGATCGAAAGAATTCTCAAGTGACTCACTCGTAACTGCGTGCCCGTCTTAAAGTTGGAAAGGGATGTCTCTCTGTGGATACATCGAACCAGTCTATGAATAATTGTGACCTTTTAAATTGAAGCTGAATATTAGACCCCATTATGCAGTAATGCTTTTTTTTTTTTTTTCGGTTAATGGATGCTCTTCGAACATGGTTCGGTCGCTATCGGTACGCACCGAAATATGAATTGACCACAAAATTTCAGTAACTTTCGTCCCTTCGGAAGCACGTGTTCCGAAATTTCGTTATCATCTTTTGAAAGAAGACACCACTTTCAAGGGGAGACCACAAAACAAAGAGAGAGAAAAAAGTAGAGAGAGAAAGAGAGAAGTAAAAAAGTAGGGATTTGTTGGTCGTGGTGTTTATTTAAAAAAGCAAGTAAAATACATTAAAAAAAAAAAAATCCTCGATTCACGGGCCCTTCCCTTTCGTTTGCTTTTTTCCCGGACCTTTTTACTCAAAGTCTCATCCACATGTACGAAAGCCACTTGTCGCGACCTGGTCCACGTGCCGTCACCACGTGGCGTTTGGTGAGCGACCGTGGGGACCCACGTACTTTCTTCCCAATAATGTAACGCCCCGCCCCGCTCGTGTCCTTGGACCACTCTCATCGCTTCTATTTTCTTCTATTTTTGGCAATCGAAGCCCGCAATTAAAAATAAAAATACTTTAACAATGTCACCGACAAAAGAACTGAAAAAACAAGTAAAAGGCACCAAAACAGAAAAGTAAATCGCATTGTCTAAGGGTACGAATTTATACACGGTTACAAAAAGGACCGTGTATAAAAAGGCAGGATTACACATATTGTATGTCTAGGGCCCATAGGCTGTTGATAATTCAGGTAGCGAAAAAAACAAGATTTGTGTAGCTGATGATGATCTTAAATAGAAGGAATAAAACTCAGATGATGATGATGATGATATTATGAAAAGTGCTTGTTAGTTGTATTTTGACGAGTTAACGTGCCATATCAACTTTGGATGAGTACTCTAGCTGCTCCTCAATTTCCCAGCTCAACTGTGAAGCTACACCATTGTGTCGCGGCTCATATTCCTGAATAAAAGAAAACATGAGCAATCATTTAATTTTTCTCTTTTTTTTTTTATACTTTTGTGAAAAATGATGAAAGAGGAGAGCAAGCTAGAGCAAGTGTTCGATGCATAGAGTAATATTTCGTAAACTGATATATTGGGGTACAACATGGTTGCTTTCGTACTAGAGTTTGTTTATCTGATTTAGAAGATAAGGATTGGGAGGTGGGCGATTCCTGTCTGGTGAAACCTTGGAATTGCCTCATTCTCTTCTGGTTATTTTTTAGACTTTTCGTTGTTGGTAGGTTGGTCTAACTCGAGAACCACAAAAGTAAGAATGGGTGAACTAAAATTGATTCCTCAGCATTTTCGAGCCCAATTCCATTTTTTTCAAAAGGTTATCTTAGATTGCACACACTATGGACTAATTTATCATTGTACTCAACAAATTTGAAGTCTTTTATATCATTGTTTTGTACATGAAATTTTTTTTTAATAAAAATATTTTTTATCATTAAAAAAATACGACGTCATCTACGCGGAGTGTGACATCACCCATATGGAACATCAAATGCCACTAGTGTGCTCCATGTATAAAGTAAAAATACATAAGTGTCTAAAATTTATTGAGCATAATGATAAATTTTTATTAGTGTGAACACCCTAACATAACGTAACTCTTTTTTTAAAATAACTAAAGTGAAGGATCAAAGAAGAATAGAAGGAAAGAAGTAAGAAAAACTGAGGCAAAAAGAACAACAAAAAATAAATTGGGAAAAGGAGAAAGTTGGAGATTAGGAATTTGAGGGTTGACGCCGAAAACAGAGAAATTCGTTTTGTTGAAAAGGTAAGGAGCCCATTGACAGAGAAAGCTGCTTCTTTTGAATTAAGTAAAGAAGACAGAGAGAAGTTTTCGTTTCCCTGTCATAGACCCCACGACCAACATAACTAGATTAATGCATTGGGTTCAAAGTTCCAGCTTACTTTACTGAGCTCCTATAATTAAAAATGAAATAACATAAAATCTTCCGGAGAAGGTTTTAAAAAATGACAGCCGGATTTTCGATTTGGTTTGGTGGATTGGCAATTTGGATTGCTGAATTAGAAATTTTACAGCTGGATTTTCAATTTGGTTTAGTGGATTGGTGATTCGGATTATCGAATTAGAAATTTTAAAAAATTAATTGGCCAGTTCTCGATATATTAAGTGATGTGGATTGATTCGATCGATTCTCATTCTAAATCGACCGATTCCTATCTAGTTACATAATTTTTTGAACAGTACTACGCGCCATTAATATCAAAATATCAAAATGGGTGTCTCGATGAAATCATTTCAAAATAAAATGATAAATACGATTGCAAGAAAGAGATCCTCAAAATACCTCAAGCTTTCGCACGAGGTCATGGGCCGTGGGGGCAGAAACGGTAATATGACGGGCAGCGGGGGCAATAAAACCCTCGTCCACAGCCTGGTCTATGAAACTCAGCAGCGAATTGTAAAAGCCATCCACATTTAACAAACCAACCTGAATACAAAAGATTAAAAAATAAAATGAATATTAATATTTAGGTTCGAAGATCCTGAAAAATTGGACTCAGTCGAAATAAAAATTAAAAAATTAAAAAATTAAATGATTTTTTTGAGAAATTTACCGGTTTGTCATGGATTCCGAGCTGAGCCCAAGTGATCACTTCCAGCAATTCCTCCAGCGTTCCGTAACCGCCTGTGTTTTTATTTTAAATTCATTTCAGAAATTTCGTTAATTCAACGATAGAAATCGAACTTGCTAACCACTCAAGCTCCTTCCTGATTCCTTAAATAGATAAAAATAATAATTCTTTTCTTATACTTTTCAATATTTTTGGACTTTTAATGTTTTAATTAAAGGGTTTTGGTTTGTATAAAGGGTTTTGGTTTGTATAAGGGTGAGGCCCTAAACAATCAAAGTAAGGCACACCTTCAAATAGTGTCTAAGTGTGTTCCAGTATAAAAAATCTTTGTCATGGTGTAAACATTTATTTTCATCTCTAATTATAAAGTTTATACATTCAAAATACTATAGATTGAACAGATCTATGAGCACTTAAAAATCTTGAAAATTGGCGATACGATAATATATTATAAAATGCAATGTTTCTAAAGCTTAAAATGTATTTTTTCTCGTGTCTATACCTCTCGTAGTCGAGATATCAAATTGAGGTTTTTTCAACATTGGAACAACCCCTTCTTTTAAATTTTTGAGGTACATCTTAATTTGATTGTTTAGGGCCTCACCCTTATATAAACTTTATCAGCAAGTAAAATAAACTTTAAATTTTATCATAACATATAATTTTGATGTAAAATATTCTTAAAATTATCTCAAAATCTATTTTCAAATCTAATCATAAAATTTTAAACTCCAAAAATGATTAGAATCAAGTAGATCTATAAACATATGAAAATGGACGGTGTAGATATTGTGTTGTAAGATGCATCATTTTTTGGACTCAAAATGATTTTTTTTTTTGTCTTCGTCATACGTCTCGATGAAGGGTTTTTCAACATTAAAAGACATCTCGATGTGGAGATGATCAATTAGAGGGTTTTTCAACATTAAAAGACATCTCGATGTTGAGATGATCAATTAGAAGGTTTTTCAACATTAAAAGAACATTTACTGATGGATTTTTGTGTGCATCGTGCAACCTTATATAAATTTTTCCCAATATATAAATATATATATATATATAATTTAAAGGTACGTTAAAAATAATACCAGGCAAAGCAATAAAAGCGTCAGCTTGGCGGGCCATTTCAGCCTTTCTTTGATGCATGTCCGAAACCGGTCTTACTTCACCCACTGTTTCGCCTGTGATCTGCACCAAACCATTTTTATTTTTTTTAAATATGTAAAAAATATCAATTCAATTCCATGATTCATACATAAAACACTGTTCCACCATAATATGCAAAAAATCAATTGAATTCCATAATTTAGTGTTACAATAAAATTCCAAATTTTCATAAAATGTGAAAATTCCATTACCTCTCTTGGCATAAGGGTCTTGGGAATTACCCTGCAACACAAGAAACATCCAAATTGAGCCTTTGGGACCAGAAAAACCACAAGAGAGAGAGAGAGATTTGGAGAGAGAGAGAGAAATTTGGAGAGAGAGAGAGAGAGAGAGAGAGAGAGAGAGAACGA